GGGGGGGGGGGGGGGGGGGCAGAGTTAACTGTGGACCGGAGGAGGAGAACGTGGGCTCTTGTTTGGGTACGGGTTGGGGAGAAGAAGGCCTTTGGTTTGCCAATCGCCATGAGCGACAGAATCAGGTGTCCCGTGGCGCGCCCAGGAACCAAGACGCTGTACCGGTCTTGCGCATGTGTACGATGTTGCCGGTCGTGCAGAGTGCCCAATGCCGTAGAGATATGTAGAGAGACAGAGACAGAGACAGAGACAGAAATAAAGAATGGCTGTTCAGCAAGCTGACAGCTCGTTCGATAAGCGGAATCAACGCCATTGCCATCGTGCCAGCCACCAACGCGCACAGCCGTAACAAATCAAACACGAGGTCATAGGAGCGCCAGCTGTGTACCTTTCTATCTCGCCAGATTTTACCCTCCCTCGGCACCATGTTGCTGCTTGCTAAGAGTTGATTAGAAACAAAACAACCGTTGTAAAAATTGTGTTTGCATACGCACTACTGCTGTACAGGTGAAGGACGTGTGGCGCGAGAGCTGCGGCTTCGAGGCTTCCCTAGCGGCCATCTCCAGCCTCGACGCGGCCTTCTCTTCGACGGCGCCACGGGCACCGACGCCTACAACAGACGCCACCACCCCCTCTTCATCGCCTGCCGCGGACGGGGCTCAAGGCGACCAGGGCGGAGGCGGCGCCACCGCCCTTACTCCCGAGGAGGCGTGTTTGTGCGAGGCCGAGTACTTTCGGGTCATCCAGGCGGCGCTGTTCACGCTCGTCGCGAGCGCGTCCGCCGGCCCCGCGGCCCTGGTGCGGGGGGAGCGACTGGTCGGGTGCCGGGCGAACCGGAGGTACCTTAGGCGGGAGATCAGCTACGACAGCCTCGCGTGCTGCCTGGTCAACTCCGGGGTGGTGGCCAGCCCCACGTACGCCTCCCGGGCGGTGAAGCTTCTCTTCACGATGATCACCGAGCAGCCTTGCAGCGGCATGCGCCTGGAGGCCGGGGACGACAACACCGGGGGCGATGGGGGATCGGGAGGCGGGGGCGCCGCTGACAACGCGACGGGGGCGGAAGGCGACGACGACGAAAACGTCGGTCAGCACGCGCCCGTCCGGAACGCAGATGCGGTCATGGTGGTCCTCGGCGTGCTGCCGTACCTGAGCGAGGACACCGCTTGGGCGGCCCTGGGGGCGCTGAACCAGGTGGTGCGGGCGGGCGGGTTTGCGGAGGCGGAGGCGTTGGTGGCGGCGGGCGTGGTGAGGATGGCCGCGGACGTCCTGGCCAAGGCGCTGCACTCGCGCACGGCCAGAGCCAACAACAAGCGCAGGCGCGACAGCCGAACGAGCACCGGAGCAGCGCGGGACGACGCCGCGGGGGCGCTGGTGGACGCCGGTGCCGGCGGCCGCGCGGAAGGCGGGGACGGGGGTGGAACTCCCGTGGCGGCCAACGGTGGGGGTACCCTCCGGGAGCCCGTTCGAGAGGTCGCCCTGCGCGGCCGTGAGCACGGGCTGCGGGAACCCCTGCGCCTGACGGAGAGTGTGCGGCAGCGGCTGGTGGAGTTCATCATGCTCGTGGCGAGCCGGCACATGACGCAGGCCGAACTGGCGCCGATAGTGAGGGCCGTGACCCTGCCGCTAGCGATGGACTCCCGCGGCCACGTGGCGCCGCCGACCGTGTGGCCCGCCGGCCTCGCCCTCCCGCCCGCGATCGACCGCGCCGACGCGGGCGGGGAGGCGTTCTGGCTGCCCGGGTGGGGAACCTTTGTGTCCCCGTCGCCCGGCGACGGAGGCGTCTTGGTGAGCAGCGCCGCGGACAAAACACCAAGCTCTGGTGGGCATGTTGCTTCCCCTTGGCCGTGGCTGGGCGTGCTGACGGCCATGTCGGCGCGCGCGGAGGATTCGACCCCGTTCTTGCGGCTCGGGGGCTCGCCGGCCACCGACATGTCGAGCCTGTGCCACGAGGTCTCGAGGTCGGGGTGGAGGACGGCCGGGGGGGCCGGGCTATCCTCGTCGGGGCCGGCGTCTTCTTCCGCGGCGGGGGAGGACGCCGCTGACGGCGGCGGCGGCGGCGGCGGCGGCGGCGGCGGCGGCGGAAAGCTGTGGCGCGGGCAGCAGAAGGCGCTCGTGGAAGCGGCCCTTGAGGAAGGAGTCCGATTCGTGCACGTCCCGGGGCTGGAGGGAGGGGGCGCGGGCGCCGCGTCCGGTGACGGCGGCGGTGGCAGCGGTGGCGGCGGTGGTGGCCTCGGCGACGGGACGTCGTGGCCGGGCCCGTCCGGGTACTCGTTCGCTTGCTGGATGCGCTTCAATCCTCCCGGTGGCGGGGGCAGCGGTGCCCGCAGCGGCGGTGACGCCGGGACTTCGCCCCCCGAAGACATGGAGTCGTGGAACGAGGACGTGGGCAGGGCGGCGGCTTTCGGGGCCGCCGCCACTGCCGCTGCTAAGGGTAACGCCGCCAACCCCACGAAGCTCAAGAGCGACCCCGGCCAGGCGCCCGGAGAGGGTGGCGCGGGGGCTTTCGCCGCCGACCGACGCGCGGCAGCGGAGGCGTCGACAACGGTAGGAAAGGGCTCGCCGGGCGGTGGCCGGGCGGCGGTGGCGGCGACCGGTGGCGCTGCAAGGACTGCCGCAGAGGGCTCCTCGAACCTTGAGAAAAGGGGCAGCGTGGACAGCGCTTCCGGGCGCGGAGGGGATAAGGACGACGATGCCCCCCCCCCTCATTT